ATGTCAATAATTACTCTGAATGTAAATGGACTAAACACTCCAATCAAAAGATACATGATACCAGAATGGATTTAAAAAAAAAAAAGATTCATCCATATGCTGCCTACAAGAGACTCATTGTAGATGTAAAGATACCTGCAGATTGAAAGTGAGGGGATAGAGAAGCAACTATCATGTAAATGGATGTCAAAAGAAAGCCATTATGTCAAACTAGATTTTAAACCAAAAACTGTAACAAGAGAGGAAGAAGGGCATTATATCATAATAAAGGGGGATAATCCAACAAGAAGATCGGAAGATCTAACAATTGGAAATATCTATGCCCCTAATTTGGGAGCACCCAAACATATACAATGGCTAATAACGAACATAAAGGAACTCACTGGTAATAATACAATAATAGGAAGGGACTTTACTACCCACTAACAGCAATGGACACATCATCTCAGCAAAAAATCAAGAAGGAAACAGTGGCTTTGAATGACACAGAGGGCCAGATGGACTTAACAGAATATTCAGAACATTTCCCTCCAAAGCAGCAGAATACACATTCTTCTGGAGTGCACATGGAATGTTCTCCAGAACAGATCACACACTGGGTCACAAATCACCCCTCGATAAGTACAAAAAGAGTGAGATACCATGTATATTCTCAGACTACGACACTGTGAAACTTGCAGTCAAATACAAGAAAAAAATTGGAAAAACACAAATACACAGAGGTCAAAGAACATCCTACAAAGAATCAATGGGTATTAAGGAGGGTGCGTAGTGCATGGAGCACTGGGTGTTGTACACACACAATGAATCTTGGAACACTGTATCAAAAACTAATGATGTATTTTATAATGACTAACATAACACAATAAAAAAAATAAAGAATGAATGGGTTAACCAGGAAATTAAAGAAGAAATAAGAAAATACATGGAAGCAAATGAAAATGAAAACACAGTAGTCCAGACCTTTGGGATGCAGCAAGGACAATTCTAAGAGAGAAGTATATCACAATACAGGCCTACCTCAAGAAGTAAAAAAATCTCAAATACACAAACTAACCTTACACCTGAAGGAGCTAGAGAAAGAATAACAAATGAACCATAAAGCTGGCAGAGGAAGGGAAATAATAAAGATCAGAGCACAAATAAATGATACAGAAACTAAAAACAAAACAAAACAGAGAACAGATCATTGAAACCAGGAGCTGGTTCTTTGGGAAAAAAAATCAATAAAATTGATAAATCCCTAGCCAGACTCATCAAAAAAGAGAGTGAGAGAGAGGAACCCAATTAAGGAGGGCACGTATTGCATGGAGCACTGGGTGTGGTGCAAAAACAATGAATTCTGTTACGCTGAAAAGAAATTTAAATAAAAGCACAAATGAGAGAAGAGAATAATAATAAACCCCACAGAAATACAATTATAAAAGAATATCATGAAAAACTATATGCCAACAAGGTAACAACCAGGAAGAAAGGGTAAATTCCTTAAAACACACAAAATATCAAAACTGAAACAGAAAGGAATAGAAAACTTGAACAGACCCATAACCATCAAAAGAATTGAATCAGTAATCAAAAAACTCCCAAAAAACAAAAGTCCAGGACCAGATGACTTCCCAGGGGAATTCTACCACTTAAAGAGCTAATAGTTTTTTGTCTCAAATATTTCAAAAAACAGAAAAGGAAGGAAAACTTCCAAATTCATTCTATGAGACCAGCATTACCCTGATACCAAAACCAGGTAAAGACACTGCTAAAAAAAAAACATAAAAAGAGAGAGAGAGAGACAGAGAGCTACGGGCCAACACCCCTGATGAACGTGGACGCAGAAATTCTCATTAAGATTCTACCAAACTGAATCCAACAGTGCATTAAAGAAAATTCACCATGATTGAGTGGGAGTTATTCAATATAAATGATGGTTCAATATTTGCAAATCAATCCATGTGATAAAGCACATCAATAACAGAAAGGCTAAGAAACACATGATCATTTCAACAGATGCAGAAAAAGATTGACAGAGTACAACATCCATTTATGATAAATCCTTCAACAAAGTAGGGATAGAGGGACCATACCTCAACATAATAAAGTCCATATAAGAAAATCCACAGTGAACATCATCTTCAGTGGAGAAAAACAGAGCTCTTCCCCTAAGGTCAGGAACATGACAGGGATGTCCTCTCTCACCACTGTCATTCAACTTAGTGTTGGAAGTCCTAGCCTTAGTAATCAGACAACAAAAAGAAATAAAAGGCATCCAAATTGGCAAAGAAGATGTCAAACTTCCACTATTTGTAGACAACATGATACTCTATATAGAAAACCTGAAAGACGTCATAAAAAACTGCTACAACTGGTTCATGAATTCAGTAAAGTGGCAGGATACAAAATCAATGTACAGAAATCTGTTGTATTTCTACACATCAGTAATGAAGCCGCAGAAAGAGAAATTAGGGAATCAATCACATTTATAATGACATCAAAAATAATAAGATATGGGGGTGCCTGGGCGGCTCAGTCAGTTAAGCATCCAACTCTTGATTTTGGCTCAGGTCATGATCTCAGAGTGGTAAGATCAAGCCCTGAGTCAGGCTCCCCATGCAGCAGGGAGTCTGCTTCAGATTCCCAGTCTCTCTCTTTCCTGTTCCTCCATACTGCACACGCACTGTCTTTCCCTCTCAAATAAATAAATAAATGTTTTAAAAAATAATAAGGTACTTGGGAATAAACCTAGCCAAAGAGTTGAAAGACCTGTGATCTGAAAACTATAAAGTGCTGGTGAAAGAAATTAAGATGACACAAAGAAACGGAAAAACATTCCATGTTCATGGACTGGAAATCAAACATCTTTAAAATGTCTATACTCTCTAAAGCGATCTACACATTCAGTAAATGCCTATCAAAGTACCACCAGCATTTTCACAGAGCTGGAACAAACAATCCTAACATTTGTTTGGAACCACAAAAGTCCCTGAACGGCCAAAGCCATCTTGAAAGCGAAAGCCAAAGTTGGTGGCTTCACAATTCCAGACTTCAAGCTCTATTACAAAGCTGTCATTGACAAGACAGCATGACACTGGCACAAAACAGACACACAGATCAATGCAGCAGAACGGAAAACCCAGAAGTGGACCCTCAGCTCTACGGTCAACTAACCCTCGACCAAGCAGGAAAGAATATCTAATGGAAAAAAGACAGTCTCTTCAACAAATTGTGTTGGGAAAACTAGACAGCCACACGCAGAGGAATGAAACTGGACCATTTCCTTACACCACACACAAAAATAAAGTCAAAATGAATGAAAAACCTAAATGTGAGACCTGAAACCATAAAAATCCTGGAAGAGAACACTGGCAGTAATTTCTGTGACATCAGCCATAACAACATGCTTCTAGTTATGTCTCCTGAGGCTAGGGAAACAGAAGCAAATATTAACTATTGGGACTTCACCAAAGTAAAAAGCTTCCACAGCAACGGAAACAACCAGCAAAACTAAAACACAACCTATGGAATGGGAGAAGATATTTGCAAATGACATACCTGATAAAGGGTGAGTATCCAAAATCTATAAAGACCTTGTAAAACTCACCACCCCAAAAAATCAAAAAATGGGCAGAAGACATGAACAGACATTTCTGCAAAGAAGACATCCAGATGGACCACAGACACATGAAGATGTGCTCCACATCACTCGGCATCAGGGAAATACAAATCCAAACCATGAGGAGATCCCACCTCACACCCGTCAGAATGGCTAAAATCAACAACACAAGAAACAAGAGGTGTTGGCGAGGGTGTGGAGAAAGGGGAACCTTGTGCACTGTTGGTGGGAACGCAAGCTGGCACAGCCACTCTGGAAAACAGTGTGGAGGGTCCTCAAAAAGTTGAAAATAGAGCTGCCCTATGACCCAGCAATTGTATTACTGAGTATTTACCCAAATGACACAAACACTAATTCGAAGGGACACATGCACACTGATGTTTATAGCAGCAGTATCCACCGTGGCCAAACTATGGAACCGTCCCAAATGTCCATGGACTGATGCATGGATAAAGAAGATGCGGTGTATATGGACAATGGAATATTACACAGTCATAAAAATGAATGACGTCTTGCCATTTGCAATGACATGGTTGGAGCTAGACAGTATTATGCTGAGCGAAATAAGTCAGAGAAAGACAAATAACATATGATCTCTTGTATGTGGAATTTAAGAGACAAACAAATGAGCAAAGGGGGGGAAAGAAAAGACAAACCAATAAACAGACTCTTAACTCTAGAGAACACACTGATGGTCACCGGAAGGGAGGTAGGGAGTGGATGGGGGAAATAGGTGATGGGGATTAGAGAGAGCATTTGTTGTGATGAGCACCAGGTGATAAAATAAAAACTTTAAGAAATTAAAATTTTAAAAATAAATAAATAATAAAAGTGAAAGCTCAAGAACAGAATATGCACATCATTTGGTAATCACGAGATGAACGGGGGAACAAGAGCAGTGTCTCGGATGGACTGTGGGAGTCACCCCACCAGGGTCTGAGTCTGCAGGTGGAGCAGGGGAGGGGGCAGTCCCCCGAGCCAACACACCCTTGTTTGGTGAGGTGTGTCTGGGCCATGTGTAGAGCAGACCAGAATTCACACCAAAGATACACAAGCAAAAATGGAAAGAGGAGCCCATGTTTTAGACACACCTGACCATGAGCCAATCAGCCAACATCTGCATCTCAGCGTTTGCTTTCTGGACACAAGCCAGCAGCCATCACCAGACACATTCAGCGTCTTGGGGACGGTGTTACAAATACCTTACGGCAAATAAGTTAATGAGGGCTGTCAGGAAACACTCGGAGCAATAACAAGGAAAAGGAAGGCTGGAGAGACTCATATGAGGCTCAGCACCCCAGAGACAGATATAAAAGCCCCGATGCCCAGAGCATGCCACTCACACACTGGTCACACACACCCCTGTCCCTCTCATTTCACAGCACAAAACTCCAGCATGGCAGACACCTGCTGCTCCAGGACCTACGTGGTGGCCGCGTCCACCCTGTCCGTCTGCTCCAGCGACCAGAGCTACGGCAGCCGCATCTGCCTGCCCGGCTCCTGTGACTCCTGCCCCGACTCCTGGCAGGTGGACGACTGCCCAGAGAGCTGCTGCGAGCCCCCCTGCTGTGCCCCCACCTGCTGTGCCCCCACCTGCTGTGTCCCCAGCTGCTGTGCCCCCACCTGCTGTGACCCCACCTGCTGTGCCCCAGCATCCTGCCTGACCCTCAACTGCACCCCTGCGAGCTGCGGGTCCAGCCCCTGCCAGTCAGCCTGCACCAGCCCCTGCCAGCCCTCCGGCTGCAGCTCCTCCCCCTGCCAGGGAGACTGCTATGTGTCTGTCTGCTGCCAGCCCGTCTGCTGCACCCCTGTCTGCTGCAAGCCCGTCTGCTGCACCCCTGTCTGCTGCAAGCCCGTCTGCTGCACCCCTGTCTGCTGCAAGCCCATCTGCTGCACCCCTGTGTGCTGCCAGGCCTCCCCTTGCTCAGCCTCCTCATGCTGCCAGCAGTCTAACTGCCAGCCCTCCGGCTGCAGCTCCTCCCCCTGCCAGGAAGACAGACAGACTATGTCTGTCTACTGCAAGCCCGTCTGCTGCACCCCTGTCTGCTGCAAGCCCGTCTGCTGCACCCCTGTCTGCTCTGGGCCCTCCCCCTGCTCGGCCTCCTCCTGCTGCCAGCCCAGCCCCTGCTCCTCGTCCTGCTGCAGACCGTCCTCCTGCGTGTCCCTGCTCTGCCGCCCCGTGCGCAGCCCCGCCTGCTGCGTGCCCGCCTCCTCCTGCTGTGCCCCCGCCTCCTCCTGCCAGCCCAGCTGCTGCCGCGGGGCCTCCTGCATGTCCCTGCTCTGCCGCCCTGTGGGCTCCCGCCAGGCCTGCTGTGTGCCCGCCTCGGCCCAGAAGTCCTGCTGCTGACGGGGCCCGTCTCCCGCGGGGCCAGCTGGGCTCAGGACCCACCCAGTGACAGTGGTCCTCCCAGCCCCCTCAGTCCGGTCCTGACCTGTTAGGTGGCTGCCCACACCCAGGACAGGGTCTTCCATGCGTCCACTCTGCTGACATGACCTTGACCTTATAGCTCCCAAGAACGCTGACCCCGCTGGTCCCCAGGGCTCCTGCTCCCAGGAGGGGTCTCCACACTTCTGGGTCCCCCGTCCTTCCCTCCCAGTTTCTCGGCTCAGGTCCCATGACCTCACCTGCTGACCTCTCAGCGCCTGCTCAGACACCCCAATAAACTCACTCACCAGCGCATCTGCTTCCTTTCATCCGACCCTCATGGGGGTTGGGGGTGTCCAGGGGTCTGAGCAGACATTGGTCTCCTCCATCCAGGAACATTTCTAGGAATGGGGGACTGAGAAATCCCTCAGGGCAGGGCCCCGGGGTGGGAGGCCCGCCCCGGCCCAGGAAGGTCAGGGCTGCTGGACCCTGCGTGCCCAGGGCTTCCCGAGGCTGGCCACCTGCACACGGGTCGTGGTCTGGGGGTTCTCAGCCCCTGGCCCGTTTCCACCCACAGCCCCAGCTGGGCAAACCGGCCCCAGACGAGCTGGCCTGGGGGCTGCAGTAGCACAGCCCCTATGGGCCAGGGTCCCCCTGGGGTCCTCCCACGGGCTGTACCCATTTAGCAGAAAGGTGGTGGCGTAGGGGAGGCACTGCTCCAAGGTCCCAAAGAAAACAACTAGGTTTGAAACAAAATATTACGGGTCAGTGACAGGACCCCCAGGATCCCGACCTGGGCGGGACTCTGAAGGCCATCATCTGATGGGTCTGGACTCCACCTGGGAGCCTGAGGGACACGGAGACCTGGTGCGGGGCCTTCCCTGTTAACTGAGAAACCATCGGGCCTTGAATTGCTGTGAAGAGCGGGCTGCTCAGATATCAGGATGACAGAGGTGTCGCGTGCGGACACTGGTGGACAAGAGTGGGGACATCCAGCAAGATCACCCACCAGCATGGCCAACACTGGCCCATCCACTCCTCAGCCCAGGAACACTGGCCCTGAGCGGTTTGCACAAGTGACCTGTGAATCTCCAGGTGTTTTCCCCAGTTTCCCGGGCCATGCCACCACTGCTGGTGAAGACCCTTCTGGTTTTGGTCCACACCACCCAGGGCCCTGTCCTCGGCTCAGGCCCCTTGCCTCCGCCCATCTAGCCATGTAGACCCCTTGCAGGGACGCTGATAAACTCCCACGCCCCACTTTGGTGATGGCACCTGGAGTGTCTGGTGCTCGGGCCTCTGAGCTCTGTGGTCACCCCAATCTGGAGTCTCACTTGCACAGGGCTCGAGGCATTGAGTGCCCTGAGCCCATGTGCTACTCCTTTGATTTGTTCACAGCAAACACCACCGGCCTCACACAGCCCTAGCAGTTCTCATAGACCTGCACAACTGCAGGCATACAAAGGACGGGGATTTCATCTCACAGCTGCTCTCTGAGGTGTGAGCTCCCCATCCCCTCTTTACGAGGAGGAAACTGAGGGATGATGTGTTGGGAAAACACAGTAGAGAGCCACCCATATGGCTTGTTGCAGGATGCCATAAAGGCTGCCCAGGAAAGGGGACTCTGACCAGCCCCGACCTCCACCCTGACCCCACCCAACCCCAGGCCACCATGAGCCACAGCGGCTGCTCCACAGGCTGCCAGCCAGCCTGGCCCACCTGCTGCCTCTCCTGGGCTATGAGAGTTCCTGTGGCCACCCAGACCCCCGCATGTCTCTTCCGGGGCAGTTCCTGTGTACCCAGCCCTCCCCCCAGCCCAGCTAGCTACATGCCCATGAGCTTCCCCTCAGGGTCCTGCCGGCTCACCTAGACCATCACCTAAAGTACCCCCACTTACTGCTGTGCTGGGACCTCCCCAACCCCACCCTGACTCAGGAAGAAGCCCCAAAGCCCAGCCCTTCCCTTCCACAGCCAGTGAATCTGTCATCATGAAAGTCCTTCCAGGGATGGCCCAGCCACATCTGCATTCCCCACAGAAAATGCCCCCAAAGCACCCCAAGAAACCCTGAAAGGCAGAGACCATGAACCCTCCCGGGCCTGATAGGCAACAGGAGACTCCCTCAGCCCCACATTGCCCCAGAGTCAGTCAGACCATGCAACTCCCTATCTGCTGAGTAACTCCCATGAATACTCTAATGTCTCACACCCTTTCCCTCTGTTTCCTGTGTGGTTTTGTTGACAAAGGGGATTCACAGCTCATCTGGGAACAGGGGACCCAGGGGAGACATGTGACCAGTAACCAGCACCCAAGTGTCTCTGCCACTCCTCTCTGGGGCTTATACTGCTGCCTTTGGGGGCCCGGGAGCTCTGCCAGCCAGCCATGTCTACCTCAGGTCATCACTCCACTGTCTGGCTACCATCACAGGTCTGAAGCTTTGCTCCAGGAAAATCCTGTGGTCTGAGAACAAAGACTCCAACCCACTGTGAGTAGGAGCAGCTCCTCCCCATGCACAGGTGGGGGCTGACCCAGAGGTCAGCACAGGCCACCGTCTTGCTGGGAGGTGGGGACAGAGGAGACTGGCAGTCAGTTTGTCCAGTGTCCAGAAGGTCTTCTTGGGACAGATGGGCATCCTGGACTCATGCCTACATTCACAGACACCAGAAAGTCCTCTGTTCCAGCACCGGGCCATCTGCTGGGATGCAGAGGGCAGAGAACAGGACACAGTCTCTGGAGCTCCTGCCTGCTGGGCTGGGTTGGCAGAGAGCAGCTGAGAAAGGAAGATCACAGACAGTGATAGTGGAGAAAGGGCAGAACAGTGTAAGAACGTGTCCAGACCAGAAGGTGAGAGGAAATGTAAACACACGTGTCCAGATGCAACCAGATGCATCTTCCCACACGCATGAGTAAATCTGAGAATGAACTCCTGGAAATGCAGAGCAACGGGTCAGATGGTGGTGTGGAAATCGCATTGCCCACAAGAGGGTCTGGGTCCTCTTTTTTTTAATTTAAGTTAAATTAGCTCATATATAGTACATCATTAGTTTCAGTGATTCATCAGTTGTGTAATAATCCAATCAAGAAATGGGCAGAAAACATGAACAGACAGTTCTCCAAAGAAGACATAAAATGGCCAGTACACACATGAAAAAAATTCTCCACATCACTCGACATCAGGGTCTGGATCCTCTTAATGACAGCAAAGATTCACAGCAGGGGGGCTTACCTTTTTCTATCTTTGCCAACTTGATAAGGAATAATACCTTATCATTGCTCCTCTTGCCTCGACACATAGCATCCCAAAGTCTTGGTTTATTGATTTATGCAGAAACAGGGGACAGGCATCTAAAGTCTCTCTACTTTTGATTATTACAAACACCACTGTGAGGGTCCTCACCACTTACCTGTGTGCACCAGTGTGTTTTCACTGGGTCTAAATTCCTAGAAGTGGGAAATCCAGGTCAGAACGTTTGCTGATTTTAAATTCTGAGAGATCAACCAAATAAATGCCATCAAAAGGACTTTTAAAAACTGTGCCTACGGGGCGCCTGGGTGGCTCAGTGGGTTGAGCCTCTGCCTTTGGCCTGGGTCATGGTCTCAGGGTCCTGAGATCGAGCCCCACTTCGGGCTCTCTGCTCAGTGGGGAGCCTGCTTCCTCCTCTCTCTCTGCCTGCCTCTCTGCCTACTTGCGATCTCTCTCTGTGTGTCAAATAAATGAATAAAATCTTAAAAAAAAAAAAAACTGTGCCTACTAAGAGTGATGTCAGAAAATACTGGAAATGGGGAACTCTAAGAGCCCACCTCCTCACCACCACAGAAACACTGAAGAGACTGGCAAAGCTGCCAGAATCAATTTTATCTGAACTATGGAATATGGTCAAAGGTTTACAACAACCAAGGGAATGCTTCATCAACACAAAAGTGACTGCAGCCTGGTGGACTGGGTCCCAGTGAGGGCCCTGGTTCTGGAGAGAGAGAGTGGGCCCCATTCTATGAGAAGTGTGGTTGTCTGTGCAGTGGCTCTGGAGGTGCCCATACCAAGGACTTGGCCTTATTTCTCATAACTTGAAACTACTTCAAGACCAAGAAGCAGCTACACAGAGAGTGTTTGTCAAATAAATCCATTGTTGCCTGGGAAAAGGGTTATCAGTTGTGGGAAACAGAAGACACCCCAAAATGCCGAGGACAGAAATCTGGGGAATGAAATGTTTGAAGGAATAAGGCTTTCAGACTTCCACAGGTGGCTGGAAGTCCAGAAGACCCAACACGTGCCTCCAAGAGGCCCGTGCTCAGAAAGGACCCAAAAAGACCCTAGGCACTCACCATGGGCTACACATCCAGCTCTGACAGGCAGGAAGTGAAGACAAAAGCAGAGCTTTAAACTGCCTGGCCCAGGGTTGTGAGCATGGTCCCATCACACAAGAGCCCAGCCACAAAGACTGGGAAAAAATATTGTTTGGCTCCAGGTGATTAAGGAGCTCTCTGTCAAATCACCCTCTGACCACTGGCTAATAGAACAGTGACCACACCTGACAAAGAGTGCAGTCTTTACAAAATAGTTTAAGTAAATGAAAGTTAATAGAGGTCATTGCTAGTGGATAGACTTGCCCTACAAGAAATTATAATTCAGGCTGAAATAAAAGGGAACTAAATAGAAACACACTGATAGGTCACAACAATCAGCAATAGATTATAAGGAAGGAGAGAATCTGATATTCAGAATTATCACATTATAATATTCAAACGTCCAATTTTCAACAAAAACTATGAAGTATACAAACAAGGAAGAAAGGATGGTTTATTCAGAGGGAAAATGTAATTAGCAGAAAATGCCCCTGAGGAAGCCCAAGGATTGAACTTTCTAGACAAAACCTTTAAATAAACTCTCTTAATATACTCTAAGAATCAGAGAAAACCATAGACAATGAATTAAAAGAAACTAAGAGCATAATGTTCACCAAATTGAGAATATCAATAAAAAACACAA